TCATTGATTTACAAGTGGATGGTTAAGAATATTAGGATCATATCTATGAGTTTTAGAATGATAATACTATTAATTAATTAATTTTAGACAAGCTCTACATTTAAACTATAAATTATATAGTTAAACTAATTTAAGGTTTAATTAAAGGTTAAATATTTGTTTTATTTTTCTAGAAAAATAATGTAAGCATGTGGATATGGGCTTTGGAAATATAAAAGAAAAGAAAGAGAGGAGAGGATAAGATTGTTATGTAAAAAAAAAAGCTTAATATAAAGAAAACACAAACTATATATTTTTTCGCATTTAGGTTTTTAATTTTTTTTGATCAATTTAGGTGTCTAACGTTTCCAACATTATCATTTAGGTGCCTCAGTCGTAACAAGTGTTAAAAAAATTCTATCAATCACTCAAAATGTGACACGTGACATGTTTATAATTTTTTAAAATTTTATTTTAAAAATTAAAATTATTATTATTTAAGAAAACTCCTAAAATATTTCTAAAATCTCAAAAAATACCCAACCCGTTAGTCGTCCACTGCAGTTTTCGCTCCCACTGGCCGCCTATCCACCCATTATCGGTTGTTAGTTACGGCTTCAAACCCCCACAATCCCTAAATCCAAACCTCCAAATCCTAAACACCAACATCCATCTTAATAGTGGGTGAGAGGTCGGTGGGTGGTTGGTGGGTTGAGGGACAATGGGTGAGTCGATGATCGCCGGCGGTGGTAGTGGTCAGTATCGAAATTGAAAGTCTTGAGGTATTTTATGAAAAATAAGAAAAATTGTGGGTTTTTTAAAAAATAATAATTTTTTAATTAAAGGAAATAAAAAATCAAGCTACATGTCAAATATTGATTAGTTGATTAATTTTTAATAGATTTTTTTAACGACCGTTACGAGTATGTACCAAAATGATAATATTAGAAACGATAGGCATCTAAATATACTCGAAAAAAATTTAGATATCTAAATAGAAAAAAAAAGTAATTTAGACACCTTTTATATATTAAACCTAAAAATAATAAAAGCCGAACCAAACGATGCTTCGAAATGTGTTGCATGATGTGCGGTAAACTATACCCGAGAAATCGTGAATTTAGCAACGCGGGGGGAGGTATAATTGAGCTGAAATTGTGAAAATTATTTTATTTTACGAGAATTTTCTATATCAACCTTGCTAAAATCTCATCGATAATTATCAATCAATATATTCATTATATATTGAATACTTATCCATATATAAAATAAGATAAACTATATGTTTAGTATCTAAACTATTATTTTGTTCTATTTTGAAACCTAAAGTTTTTTTTAAAAATCATACCTAATATTTAGTTTATGTTTCAATTTGGCAATCCACTATTAAAAAATTAACAGAACTACTAGCATTTTTTTATTTTGTTTGAAATGATGACATGGAATTATCTTATGTGAGACGTCAACATCACCGTTAAGTTTTTAGCTGTGAGGTACTAAAATAAAACCTAAATTAAACTTTATGTATGATTTTGAAAAAAATAAAATTTAAGTACTAAAACGGAACAAAAGTAATAGTTTAAACACTAAAAGTATAGTTTACCCTATAAAATATGGATAAATATATGTTTTAATATTTGAATTTGAATTTAAGGTATAATTTAATATTTAATTTTTTAATCCAATTAGATATTAAATTTGATTTTAAGATTTAATTTGGGATTCGACTCTGGTTCAATTAGGTTTATGAACTTCACTTTTAAGTTTAGTTTGATACCTAAATTTGACTTTATAGTTCGAAGGTTTAAATAAATAATTTATTTAAATTTGAAACAAAAAATGAAGTTTAGGGACTAATCTTGATTAACAAATCAAGTTTCGGTACATAATTGGATAAAACAAATTAGACCTTAAGTCGAGTTCATGTATCTAATTAAAAAATATATATGCCAAATTGCACATTGAGATCAAGTTCAAGAATCAAAATATAAATTACCTAAAATAATTCATAAATATGTAATTTTATTATAATACGTTACATTATAATGAATCAGATATCCCTATAAATGCCATTTGCTTCTCCCCCACCAAAGCAAAAAAAAAAAAAAACACCTTTTAATTTGTCAAGACATCAAAAACCATGGTGTTATCTAAGACAGCTTCTCAGACCGATGTCTCTGTTCACTCCACTTTTGCCTCTCGCTATGTCCGGAACTCATTTCCCAAGTAAATTCCCAAGAATTTGAAGCTTAAAGGGTTAAATGATTTCCATGAATATAGAATATTGCAGGTTCAAGATGCCTGAGGATTCCATTCCGAAAAAGGCCGCGTTTCAGATCATCAATGACGAGCTCATGCTTGATGGAAACCCAAGGCTAAACCTTTCCTCTTTTGTTACTACCTGGATGGAACCTGAATGTAATAAGCTTATTATGGATGCCATTAACAATAACTATGTTGACATGGATGAGTACCCTGTCACCACCGATCTTCAGGTACATATACAAATATATATATATATATATATATATATATATATATATATATGTGTGTGTGTGTGTGTGTGTGTGTATTTGTTTTTGGTTTTAGTAAATTTTCTTTCAACTTTTCTCACAATATGTGCTGTTGATGCGGAATCGTTGTGTGAACATGTTAGCACATTTGTTCAACACGCCACTAGGGGACTCGGAGGTGGCTGTCGGAGTGGGAACAGTCGGGTCATCGGAGGCAATCATGTTGGCCGGACTAGCTTTCAAGAGAAGTGGCAAAATAAGCGTAAAGCAGTAAGCCCAACATCGTGACCGGAGCCAATGTTCAAGTGTGCTGGGAGAAATTCGCCAGGTACTTTGAGGTGGAGCTGAAGGAAGTCAAGCTGAGGGAAGGCTATTATGTGAAGGACCCTGTCAAGGCTGTTGAAATGGTCGATGAAAACACTGTCTGCGTCGCGGCGATCTTGGGTTCGACCCTCAAGGGAAAATTCGTAGACGTCAAGATTCTAAACGATCTCTTGGTGGAGAAAAACAAGGAAACTGGGTACATATATATATATCCCTTACCAAATTGCATATGGAAATAGGGTTTTGTTGTTGTTGTTTATATATATATATCCATTTTTTGCAGTTGACATGAAATTTTTCAATGAAATTGAAATCTCTAGCGCTCTTGGTGCAGATGGGATACCCCACTCATGCTGATGCAGCTAGTGGTGGGTTCATTGCACCATTCATGTACCCTGAGCTTGAATGGGACTTTAGGCTTCCACTTGTGAAGATTATTAATGTAAGTGGCCATAAATATGGGCTTGTTTATGCTGGAATTGGTTGTGTTATCTGGAGAAGCAAGGAGGATTTGCCTGAAGAACTTATTTTCCACATTAATTACCTTGGAGCTGATCAACCCACTTTCACTCTCAATTTCTCCAAGGGTTATAGCCAAGTCATTGCTCAGTACTACCAGCTGACTCGATTGGGTCACGAGGTGAGAAACTAGCTACTTTAAGCCGTTTCAACCGTAGAAACTACCTTCATAATGGCTGATGCGGTGCGTTGTTGTTAATTTTTACCTGCAGGGATACAAGAATGTGATGGAGAATTGCCATGAAAACGTTATGGTCCTTAACAAGGATTGGAGAAAACAGGGCATTTCGACATCGTGTCCAAGGATGACGGGGTGCCCTTAGTGGTGTTTTCTCTGAAGGACAACAAGCGGCACGACGAGTTCGAGATATCGGAGATGTTGCTACGATGGATCGTGCCAGCATACACCATGCCGGCAGATGCTCAGCATATCACCGTGCTCCGTGTTGTCATCAGGGAAGACTTCTCTCGCACATTGGCCGAGCGGCTTGTGCTTGACATCCAAAAAGTGGTCCATGAGCTCGACGCCCTCCCCGCCAAGCTCAATGCCAAGCAGGAACAATTAAAAAATGGCAGTGTGAAGAAGACTTCCATTGAAACTCAGAGGGAAATCACTGCTTACTGGAAGAAATATGTAACCGAGACGAAAACTAACAAAACCCAGATTTATTAGAACTTGTTCCAATACTCATACACAATACTTTCATCTCAAAATCTTTTTATGTCCTTTAACTTTTAGTATTGTTTTTCATTTCTTTTCTGCATTTGTGTTTTAGTTTACACGCCATCATTCTTCAAGCTTCAGCACTGAGTTGAACCATTAATATGTAATCCATTGTTTTATTTTCTGTAATTCTGAATTTGACTTCAATATAATGCATTTGACTTGAGAAACTTTGTAATTGATGGATTACTTGCATTGAAGCTTTCTTTCTTCTGGTTATCGCCAATCAAATAAATGTAGTCAACTTCTGGTTTTACTAATACATATGAACCGGTCTTTTTAAAATGTCACATGTTATCTTCCAATAAATATACTAAATATTAATATGTTATGGGTAAATTACATCACAAAGTCATTCAATTATTAGTAAGTTTACAAATGAGTCATCTTATTTTAGTAAATTGAATCACACGTCACTCTATTATTAGTAAATTTACAAATGAGTTGCATTCAAACGAGAAGGAAATATTGAGTATCTTATTTATGTTTTTCACATATATATTATTTTTTGTTCTTGTTCTTGAGCTTAAAAGTGAAAAAAAGGAGATTTTTATATTAAAATCTAGAAAACTATTAGAAAAATGGTAATAAAAACTCATGATCAAAGTTCTTATTTTAATCATCTTAGAAATTATAAAAGTTCAATGCTTTGAAGGTGGACGTGAAAATTGTTCTATTTGTCGTTAATCAAACAGAGACAAAATATTAAATCATTTCTTCTTTGTTTTATCATTTTTGTTTACTCCAACAAAAAGGAACTATGGAAGAACAAGTCTATTACTGTCTTTACAACAAATCATTTGGAAGAACGAGTCTTTCCTCTCTCTTTTTTTCAGGTCAAATAGAAAAAAATTGTATATTTATAGACTGACTGCAGGCTTATATATATTCATTTATTCACCTATGAAGTATAAACTTTCATAAGATCCATAACTGACATAGGATTCATTGTTTCATGACCGACTCTGAAAACCAGCACCCTGGTTTCTAAATGAAAGACTAATGGACCAATAAAATTCAATGGAAGAACAGAAAGCTGATTCAAAACGAACCAAGCTTTTTTGTTCACAACCAAACTATATATATTATGTCACAAACAAAAAGACACAACAGTTCTATAATGATACACCAATTGAGAAGGAACTCACAACCATGAATAGACAGGACATAGGCAAACCTTCAAGAAGCATGGTTGAATGATATTCTGCTAGGCGAATCAATTTTTACCAGGATTTCACCCTCACCAACAGATTCATCATCACTCGAATCATCGTTTACGTGACTCTCTTTCGAGTCTGTGTTCTTCACTTGTGCTGGGGGTACCCATCTTGTTATCTTTCTCCCTTCTTCAAGATTCTTCCTCAGTGTAACAGATCCTTCTGATCTGACAGAAACCAGTGGATGGCCAGGGAATGAAAGAACTCTATCGTATGACCGGTTGTATGCCGGCTGAGATCGATTCATCCTTGATACACTCCGGCTGCGCCGTGGCAAATCAACCTTTTAATTGGAACATAAAAGAATGCAGTTTAGTTCCAAGAACAAAAGTGTATTTTAACATAGAAGTAATCAAAGCTGCTTCTGGACATACCGTGCCGCCAAAGATGCTTAACTGCATAGCTCTTGCAGATAAGCAGTTTTGTTCATCACTTGCTTCATGATTTTGTGTGTGTCGATGTTCAGGCCAACTCATAAGACCTCCATGTTCTCTACTTAAAGTTTTGTGTGAATGGTTAAATGAGGATGAATTTCTCTGCAAAACTCTACCGCCTTCGAGTGTCGCAATATCAAAAAGATCACTCTTGCTCTTGTCTCAACTTGATATATCATGCTTCCTCTCGTCTCAAGTTGATACCCCGTTCGCTGATGAGAAAAGCTGGCTGTTGTAGCACCTGGTTTTATTAAACATCAGTCGTCAATTTGGTTTTCTTTAGTGCCAAAAAGGAGCATAGAATGCTTGGTTTATGGAACTGCATTCAGGTTCTTATGTTTGACTGTTGTTTTTGGAAAGTGAATTACGCAAGTTATTTTCCGTGAAACAAATGGACCCTTAAGCACACATAGTTACTTAGAACAATGATGTTGTCACCTGACTTATTTGCATTCAAGAAACTATGATTCCCTTGTGAAGGCAGAAGAACTGCCGGTGATGCGATGAGCTCTTCTTGAACAAGTAAAGGTTTAATGAACCCTTCCAACAAGAAGCCAATAGATTGGTGAGACACTTCTATTGTTTCCCCTGTAATGTACGTCTTCATTGATGACCTTTCTGCTACAAGGGCTCTTAAATCTGGCAGTGCTATTTTCTCAAATATTTGAGGAACCAAGAGTTTGGCAAGGACAATAGCACTTTCCTAGGATGGCAGAAACACGGAAAACACAAACTTTGTTAAACCGAGTACGAAAGACAAGCAAGACAGCTGAAGTTACAAATGACACCGTAGGTTGTAAGCTTCCTCATTTGTCAATTTATAAGAAACAATTATACCTGCCAGAGAAAATCTTCTACCTCAGGATCCGACCTTAGCACTGAAAGTATTCTGTCACTTTCGATAAAAAAACAGAGAACCACGGAATCTGTGGCCATGTCGCACATGTATGGTTTCCCAACCAATACTTCATATAAGCCCAACGTACTCCCATGAGTAAAAGTTGGATGCACTGAGTGCTTGTTTCTCATGCTCTTACTCATCCACTGCCAAATGACAATTTCCAATTCAAAACATGCTTCAAAGAAAAACTGAGGTTATATTTAAGAAGAATTAACAAGCTGTCTTGCATGCAGAAGTATTTGGGTACCTTGACAACACCATTTGAAATAAGCCAAATGCCATTTGGTTTAGAACCCTCTTTGAAAAGTGTCATACCACGTGTTTTCATTTTTTCTTTTGTAGAAACTTGTAGTTTTTCACGGACAGTAGAAGGAAGGGCGCCTAGTAAAGGATGGGCACTTATAAGATCATTTATTTTCGGAATCTTTACTAAGGGAGGATTCCTTAAAAGCTTCTTCAAGTCAATCTGCAGAAACAAACGGAAAATGTGATATTGTATCGTTCGAGCAATCACAATATCGAGAGAATAAACCGCCTTAACATGCAATTTTTTTTATTCCAGGAAAAGCTACCTGGACAGCATCATGAAGATGAAGCATTTCCTTTTCTTCCAGTAACCCAACCTTCTCGAGGTTTTGTAAATAATCAATCACATGGTTCAATACCGAGTAGGTCACTTGTCTTGTTTTAACAACACGCAAAACCTGAAGATGTTTCTCAAACAGCTTAATAAGCCTAAAGTAGAGACAGTCAATAATATAGTCATCTCAGTAATCTAAAAATGGTTATGGTTGACACACCTGAGGAAAAGTTGTACGGACGTCTTCCAAAAACTTCCTCGCCTCGTCTCCTTCAGCCTCACTTTCAGAAATTACAGCAGAAGCAACTACACTGTCACCTAAATAGAGAAGTGAAGTTATAAGAAATAAGCAGGTTGTTTCAAAAGATCAGATTATTCTAGAGTTCATTGCAAATATAGCAAGAAAACTGATTTAAAGAAGAAGAAAATCTTGCATATATATAGAGTTTTTCCTTCACGAACTGCTGCTTTCTTTAAACGTTCCACTAAGCTTTCTCGTGGTAATGAGAAGTATCAGATTTCAATTCTAAAAACATAAGCAAACCCTGGAAATGCTTTAAAACAGAAATCAGAAGTCCAAGAACTATGCCTAATTTCCAAGTACACTTTTTTCAGGAAACATCAATTGTATCCCAATTCTAATCAGGCAAGCCTATCCCGTAAGTGATATCTCCTATATTCTTGTATAAGTTCATTGATAATATTTGTGTTCCTCATCACTAAATCCATTGATTTCATGGCCATTTTCCAATGATGGTAAAGGCAAAATACAATGTTTCCTTGAAAACCAAACATTCATAACATGATTTGATTTTCCTTTCCCCTTTTACTTTCTTCCTCAAAAATGTCCATAAACATCTTAAACAAGAGATGAAAACCATGAGAATTACGTTGTGTACATGATCATGGCGTGTATATAACAATTCTGTACCTACAAGTTGACATAGTTTGTTAGCTAATATATATATATAACAAGAGAAGGATTTGGAAGCCTATACTTAAAGTGAAAAATAAACCAAATAGAGGGAGAGAAATTGCAAGAACATTGAAAAGAAAGCCAAAAGGATACATCATACATCACAGAAAGATCATTACCTATAAACTCATGAAGTTGCCGTTGTGCAATTCTATGAGCTCGAAGAAATGCAGCGCAAACACAGCATCCATTTTCCAGCCTTTCCACGGTGAAATAAGTAATCAGTTTTTGTGGGAACATACTTGTCTGAAGAAACTTGTAATAATTTGGGAAATGAACATAAGATTTTAAGCCCTTCCAATCACATAAAGGTTCATGAGATGCCACATCAATAGCTTCATCAACAGATTGCATCAAAAGATTTGCTGTACTTTATGAAATTCTCCCTTCATCAAGCATTCCCCAGTATGCTGACTGAACACCTGTTTCAAGATTTTTCAGTCCTCAGATTAGCAAACAAATTACTTCCAAAGAGAACATATAGGATGCTACAGCGCGAAGCCACAAACCATTAAGCAACGGTTATATATGGTTTGAGTTGAATTTTAATATTGCTGAACATACTATCAAGTTTGCCATTTCAGGGCAATAATTAATTGCAATATAACTAGTAGTCATGGAAACACCAGGAGATCCCCCAAGTTTATAAACAATCATGAAATTTCGGCATGGAGTTGAGCGGTAAAGCTGATAAATAATACATCTGTAATTGAAAACAAAAAAGTCTCCGTACATGGTTACATGCTATATACGAACCACACATCAATCCACAGTATCTCCACAAAGGACATATAAAATCCAGTGCCATTGAAAGTAAAAAGAAAAAGACAGAGACAGAAAGGAACAAACTGGCAGGATTAAAGTTCATGCTCTTGACAGAGTAATCCAGCTTCTAAGAGGACTTGTGCATTAATGACAGGAAGCACAACTACACTGACAATCAGTACATGAATAATAGAAAATGGAGCATCAAGACTAAAAGGAAATGAGGTTTTTACCATTTAAAAGCCGTACTCTTATATCTTTCAAGTTTGAAGGGTCCAGGTTATCATCAGCTTCAGCTTCAGAATGAGGATGCACAGGGTCCCCCACCAAATCATTTAAGCTTGTGATGTATCTCTTTACTGTAGGCCAATCAGCAGGTCCAAGTTCCTCATCATCTCCTAAGTCTTCAAAAGCCTCGAATGCTTTGTTCAACATTTCATGCTTTGTGTAGTCCAGTATACGCTTCTGTAGAAGTAAATATAATGCAAAACATAAAATGGAATCTTACAACCAAAGTGATGGAGAACACAAAACACAGAAACAATGGCCTTCTAGAACATACCCAAAAGAGAAAAATAGAAACTCAACCTTAAAATAGGTAATGCAACTAATAAATTAAGGATAAAATAGTATATAAATTCTCAAGCTTAGACTACCCAAACTCAGACAAAATACCTTGAAAGAGAAATATAGGGAAGGTTTTTTAAACAATCCATGTCTGAAATAAGCATGGTCCCAAAAGATGCACCATATACATTTTTTTTATTATTCTGTCTAACAGAAGTTTAACATGATATAATAAGTAAATTTTAAGCAAGTATAAATTGTACTTGCTTTCAAATTTCAGAAACATTGTCAGATGCACCATTTAGGAAAAGTGCGTTTTCCAGTTTTTCTCTTTAACAGTGGTAGACCATTTTAATAATCTTTATCATTGACTACATCCCAATCAACTCAGTTGGCTCTTTCTTCAGCCAATTGATTTTACATTACATGCTTACTAAAAATCCAGGTTGGATCCCTTTCAGGTAAGTAATTGAGCAATTACCTTGGGTGGTGACAGTTTATCCATATCCAGAAAATGTAAAATGAACTGTGTAGTTGATCCATTCACAATAAGTGTCAAGAATACAATTCCACCGGTGAAGAAAACAAACTGCAGTAAATTAATAACATCGATGTCATTTCTAGGTATATACTGATGAAGCATTACAATAGGATCAGGAAGCATGTTGCGAACACTCACCAGGCTTCCTGTTTCAGAACTGATATATGGTGAGCCATCACTGGAACGCTAAACACAATCAAGCATTCAAACCAAAACAAATTTAAATCAGCATTAACACATAAAATATACCTCAATATGATATAGCAATCATAGCAATGCATGCAGATGCTGCTGCAATTTATTTACTTTATACACTGAGAAGGATTTATTGTAAAGCTCACTCCTGGACAATTAATTTCTTAGAAATGAAAGCTATGCTATATGAACATCTTAAAGAAAACATAAAAAAGTTTGAACACTAGCAGGCATGTTGGCCTTTACAAAATCACAACAAAACATGGCCAAGAAATGTGCAAATTTAAAGCCACAAAATTTACATTCAATAATAATTCAAAGCATATATAATCTATATGAAAACATGTAGGAGCTACATGCAAACTTGCCTTAACAGATAGAGAAAGTGATAATGCAACAGCCCCTCGGAGCCCTGACCATATTAGGATGGCAGCTTCCTTTAAATCCAAACCATATCCAAAATATCGTAAAAATGGATATAATGCTCCAACAACAATGCATCGCGATACTTGGACAAAGATGTACAGAAGAATCAGATAGCCCCACGAATTTTCTGAAGCAAAAAAAAGATTCATGATGTTTCTTCTTTCACAAAAGTTGTTTAATTGGGTAAACATATGAGTACAATGAGAGCTATGGAACCCTGTTTACTTCAGTAAAAACATAAGAAATATGAAAAGAATGGACAAGATTTTAAATAGAAGATGATGAAGAGCATACAAGTTATATAAAACTTTCTTTAGTCCAATAGTTCAAATACAATTAACTAGAGAAAATAAGTGGAGGAGGTTAACTGACAGACTTTTTCAAATATAGCAAATATATTGCAAATGATGAAAAGAGTAATATTACTCCTTTTTCCATATTTAAAAAAGAAAAGGTGTTCAAAGCAGCATCAATTGGGTACCAGATATCCAAAATCTTTAAATTACATTTTAGGCATAAGAAAAAGAAGTTAAAGGTTCATGCAGTTCTTATCAGGTTCTAATATTCTGAACCTGAAGAGCCAACTTGTTAGAGCTAAATGTTCTTTCTTTTATGGTGTAATAGATGAGTTATCCAGGATCATATTGTCTCTAAACTGACAAGTTACAGAAACTAACCATTAGGATCTCCAAGTAGATATCATGTTGTTTTCTTTACTCTCTTAGTTATATATATCTTTTAACAGGATCCCTTTAATAACTTTTTCTGGCTGCATATTGTTAAAAGAGGTACTTAAATTAAGTCTATATCAATTTTATAGAAATTCTGTCCCTCATAGTGAGTTTCCTAGCTAATTATATATATTTATATATATATCGAGGCTCTTTTTTTTTATAAAAAAAAACTGATTGTTGCATACTAAATTCTCTAAAACATGTATTGAAATTAACTCTAGCATCCGATTTTAGAAACTCATTTTGTCCGACATAGTCTCTCTTGTCTCTTCATTATTGATTTAATATCGGAAAGAAGGAAAATTATTTTCTCCTAAATTGACCAACCAAACGTAAGCAGTACCATTGTTATGAAATATCTTATCATTGCCAAGAATGCCTTCAGCTATATCAACCCCACTGCAAAAGCAAGAGAAAAAACAAATATCTTAGTCTATGTAAGATAGTTTTATCACTCAAAATATCATATCTCATTGAATTAAAAAAGGTAATCAAGAAATATTTCCCCCTTCCTAAAACAGATAGGAGCATAAAAGTTCATTTGCTAGTATGGTTTTAACATACATGTTGGAAATCCTTAAATTAAGGAGATTTTCTACCTTAATTCTAGGAATTTCCTTGTAAATATTAGCCATATTCTAATTACTAATTTTTAGGGATAGGCTAATTATTAGAGATTATTTCCTTTTTATTCTTTTTCTACTATGTTAAAAGGGTATACTCCTATTAGAAGAAATAAGAAATTTTCTTCCTAAATCTATTCATGGTATCGAGAGCTATAGGATTCATTCGATCCTACTCATTTGCCTCTCATCTCTCTTCCTAAAAAATTTTTTCCTTCTCTCATAGGTGATATCAATGAAACCCTCTCTGAGACTGAGATCTCACAAATGACTCAAAATCACCGAATCTCTCAAACTGACCTTAACTCCTCTCTTACAATCACAAATCATCGATTAGATGGAAAAAATTCCTGGAATGGTCACAATCTGTCCTTATAGTTCTTCGTGGCCAAGGAAAAATTGGGTACATCAATGGAGACATTCCCCGACCAACATCGACAAAATTTGGTTATGCAACTTGGGAGCTTAACAACTCAATGGTTATGGCTTGGCTTATAAATTCGATGGAAGGTAATATAAGCCGAACTTACCTTTTTTTCAAAACTGCCAAAGAAATGTGGGATGCAATTAAGGAGAATTACTCGAATCTTGGAAATGCTTCCCAAGAATTCGAGATCATATTAAAGTTGAAAGATATTCGGCAAGGAGCACTTGAAGTCACTCAATATTACAACAACCTAAAGATCTTATGGCATAAGTTGGACATGTATTATGAAGCTGATTGGGGTCGAGGGCTCGGAACTCACCAAGTTCGTGGATCATATTAACAAAGAGTGTCTCTATGAGTTCCTAGCAGGACTAAATCGTGATCTTGATGAGGTCCGAGGACGAATACTAGGCAGAACCACACTACCAACCATTGGAGAAACATTTGTTGAAGTAAGGAGGGAAGAGAAACGACGTCTTATTATGTTGGGAGACACAAGAAAACTAAAAGCTTTTACTACATCTGGTCATCGTCCTTTCGAGAACACTGCCTTTATTTCAAAAGGCCCACAGTCTCAAAGGTACAAGGATGGAATTGATTCCGGTTCAAATACGCCATGGTTTAGCCATTGTAATCAGGTTGGACATACCAAGGAGAAATGCTTTAAAATCCATGGCTATCCCGGAAAAAACCAGAAAGAAATCAAGGCAGCAATGATATCTACTACTGAAGAAGATGCCCAGGATGTTTGGCTAACCAAAACTCAACTTGAGGCTCTTCATAAACTCCTCGGGACTCCTACAGCCAGTGGGTCACTAGCTATTCAAGGTGCTGCCTTAAATACTACACGCGAACCCATCTATATACTAGATTCGGGTACATCCAACCACATAACAGGTAATCTAAGTTTGTTTCACACATATTTACCTTGTCATGATCACTCCCGGATTCGCATAGCTGATGGATCTTACTCGCCGGTGGCTGGAATTGGAACAATCAGACTTACTGAAATTTTTTCCATTGATAAAGTTTTATATGTTCCAAATCTTTCTTGTAATTTACTCTCAATTAGCAAGCTTACCAAGGATGAGAAAATACTTGCTGAATTTTCTGCTTTCGGTTGTGTGGTTCAGGAACAGGAATCGGGGAAGATGATTGGCACTGCTAAAGTTGATGATTGCTTATATATTTGGAATAAAAACAGTTCACAAGAAGGGATGGCCTTATCTACATCGAAAGAAGAATCTATCATGCTATGACACCGTAGACTAGGACACCCTAATTTTATGTACTTGAAGAAATTGTTTCCTCTACTATTTCTAAATAAGAAAATAAATTCTTTGAATTGTGAAGTTTGCCAACTGTCTAAACATACTCGTGTCCCTTATCCTTTGAAACCTTATGCTCAATCTCAACCTTTCTCTTTAATCCACAGTGATCTATGTGGAGCCAGTCGAGTAAACAATGTCACAGGGGCTAGGTGGTTCATAACATTCATTGATGACCACACTAGAGTTTGTTGGGTCTATCCCCTCAAAGAAAAAACCAAAGTTTCTAAAATCTTCCAAAGTTTTCATTCAATGATTCGAACTCAGTTCAATTCCAAAATTCACACCCTTAGAACTGGTAATGGGAGAGAGTACTTTAATTTTATCCTAAGCCCTTATCTTTCTGAGAAAGGAATCATACATCAGAGTTCTTGTCTCGATACCCCTCAACAAAACAGGGTTTCCGAGAGGAAAAACAGACACCTTGTAGCCATGGCTCGTGCTCTTATGTTTACTCTGAGTGTACCGAAGTATTTATGGGGAGAAGTTGTTCTCACTGCTTGTTATCTTATAAATCGACTCCCATCAAAGGTATTAAACTTTGAAACACCTTTACATACTCTTCAAAAAAAATTCCCTTGTTTCGTGTTCCTAATCTCCCAACCAAAACTTTCGGTGGCAAAGTATTTATCCACAATCATCAACCTAACCGATCTAACCTTGATCCTAGAGCCCACACTTGTGTCTTTCTTGGATACTCACCTACACAAAAGGGGTACAAGTGCTATTCTCCGACTCTACAACGGATGTTTGTGTCCCTTGATGTTACTTTCTTAAAAAATGAGCTATATTTTTCAGCCTCTCATCTTTAGGGGGAAATATTTAGTGAAGATGAGACATTGAACGACCTTCTCATTATACCTCAAGACTCTATCAGTCATACCACCACTACAAAACCTACTGAAAATTCTACAATCACTGCTGAAAATCCTACAATCACTGCTGAAATTCCTACAGCCACTGTAATTCCTGATTTAGACCCTATTTTACTCGACTCCACTATGTAATAACAAGAAACAAGGGTGATTAACTATACAAATGAAAAAAACAACCCTCTCTTTCTGAAAGCAACAAGAAAAAACTCAGCAGCTTCGTGTATACTCTCGAAAACATCAGCTGCCAGAGACTGAAACAACAGTGCCAAAGCCATCTTTACCCGATGACTGTCCTGAGGAAAAAGACTCACCTCCTTCGCCTTCCATCTATCTTCCAATTACAGTAAGAAAGGGCACTAGAAGCTGCACTCAACATCCTATTTCTCGGTTTGTATCCTATGAGAACTTGTCTAAATCTTACAATGCCTTTATTTCTAATATTGACTCTGTAGAAACTCCAAAGAACATAGAAGAGACTTTTAAGTCAACCAAATGGAAGCAAGCCGTGTTGGAAGAAATAAAGGCTCTTGAAGACAATGGAACGTGGGAAATATCTAAACTACTTACTGGGAAGAAGACTGTGGGTTGTAAGTGGATTTTCACTACGAAATTTAAACTAGATGGGAGCATTGATCGATACAAGGCTAGACTTGTGGCCAGGGGTTTCACTCAAACATATGGGTTGGACTACGAGGAAACTTTTGCACCAGTGGCCAAATTAAATACTATTCGAGTGCTCTTCTCAATTGATGTCAACTTAGATTGGCCTTTGATCCAATTGGATGTAAAAAATGCTTTTCTCAATGGAGAATTAAACGAAGAAGTCTACATGAATTTTCCGCCCAGATTCGAAGGAAGCAAGGACCATGTATCCAAGTTGAAGAAGTCTTTGTATGGACTAAAGCAATCCCCTAAGGCTTGGTTTAATCGTTTTGCAAAAGCCATGACGAGTAGACATTATATTCAAAGTCAAGCTGATCACACCTTATTCTACAAACACTCGGGTAATGGGAAGTGTTGTATTCTTATTGTATACGTAGATGACATAATATTGACAGGAGATGATTCTATTGAAATTAAATGACTAAAAGAATTCTTAAGTCTTGAGTTTCAACTTAAAGACTTGGGGAATCTTAGATATTTTCTTGGAATGGAGATAGCAAGGTCAAAGGCAGGTATTTTAATCTCTGAAAGAAAGTATGTTCTTGATCTACTTTCTGAAGCAAGACTGTTGGGTTGCAAACCAGTCGAGATTCCAATGGAACCCAACCTTAAATTAGGAACTGATAAGGATGGAGAAGAGGTAGACAGGGGGTGATATCAACGGTTAATGGGAAAACTTATCATTCTCACACTCGTCTAGACATAGCTTGTGGAGTAAGTGTTATTAGTCAATTTATGCATGCTCATAGGGAGAAACATTTGGCAGTTGCCTACAGAATATTGAGATACTTAAAAGGGACTCCTGGTAAGGGGTTGCATTTCAAGAAAAATATAAATCGAAGCATAGAAGTCTACACTGATGCAGACTGGGCAGATGCTGTTAATGACAAGTACTCCACAAGTGGTTACTACATCTATGTTTGGCGTAATCTCGTGACATGGAGTAAAAAGTCGTCGGTTGTGGCACGCAGCAGTACTGAAGCTGAGTATCGAGCTCTGTCCCAAGGTATATGTGAAGGAATGTGGCTACAACGACTAATGAGAGAACTAAAATTATCCTATACAACACCTATAATATTGAACTGTGACAACCATGCAGCAGTTAGTATAGCTTAATACCCTGTACACCATGACTGCGCCAAACATGTGGAAATCGATCGCCACTTTATTACGAAGAAAATTAACATAGGGGAAGTTTGTGTTTCATATCTACCTACTCGACAACAAGTAACAGATGTGTTAACCAAGAGCTTGAGTAGAAAAAGGTTCGAAGAAATTATGGGCAACCTAGGTTCAATTAACATCTACACTCCAGCTTGAGGGGGAGTGTTGGAAATCTTTAAATTAAGGAGATTCTCTACCTTAGTTCTTGAAATTTCCTTGTAAATATTAGCCATAATCTAATTACTAATTTTTAGGGATAGGCTAATTATTAGAGATTATTTCCTTTTTATTCTTTTTTTGCTATGTTAAAAGAGTGTATTCCTATTAGAAGAAATAATAAATTTTCTTCTTCCTAAATCTGTTCAATACAAAATCTATTAGTTACCTTGATTGCTGTTACAATTATCAGATTTTAAATGAAAGATATGTATTTGAAAAAAATAACATAAAATACATGCAAATGAGAATCAGACGTCGAATTCTATGCAATTATGTAAGAAGGTATACTTTCATGTGGTAAGAAGGTATTTTAGATGTCTTTGCTCTACTGAAACATATCATTAAGAAAGCTTATAACACAAGTCCTCAAAACCATTTAATATTGTAAGTGATCAATCTTAAATGTTTTCACTGATAACTAAGACCTTAAGGCATGATGCCTCAATTTTGTTTCTGTAACTAGTATCATGTCTCATCTTTAGGGCTTAGTATTCGTTTGAATCATTTCTAATCTAAAAAAAAACAATGATTCACATTACAAAATAAAGGACCATAGAGACTAAGGTAAGGCCTTACCTCAGGATGAAAATTAATGTATTTGCAATATAGGCAACCATTTCCCTGAAGAAGGAAAAAGAAAAGATATAATAAAGTTACTATCTTTATGAAGTTCAGTTTAGGTAACATGTTACATAAATGTAAATAAATCATACATGAGTCGACATCCACTAAGACAACTCATGGTACTTGCAGACACTATAGACACTGCACATAGTATATAATGTGAATGGCTTTTCTTCCTTTATTTTTCAGCTACGAAATAATTCAGACATCTAAGAAAAGATTGCATTCTCCACTTTCATCTTTAAAATCATTATGTCAGAGATTAGTTACTTAAGTAAAGAATATTAAGTTGGATTTGTAAATATTTCATCTAGTTAGTATCTCTAAATCTAAGGGACTCTTTTTGTTACTAGAATTAGTCTCTTACCTAGTTTAGAAGTTACATAAGATAAGACTTAGGCTTTTATATATAATTGTAAGTTTCCTATACGTTTAATAAGAGTGAATTATAGTAAAATTCATGGCTTTTATCATGGTATCAGAGCTAGTCGTTTTTGGGTCTTGATCTCCTTGTTGAGCTTCTTTTCATAGTTCTTAAGAGTATGACACCTGATCAGCAAAATATAGGCGATACAAGTGATTTCAGTAGTACAAAAACTATTCAATGAGGGACAATGGGTGAGGAAAGTCACTCTAATTCGATAAGTGACTTACAAAACATACAAGCCGTTTATAGGTTAAATGGAAAAAACTACCTTAAGTGGTCTTAACTGGTTCGAACTTTCCTAAAAGGGAGAGGTAAACTTAGTCATTTCCTTGGAACGGGTCCAAAGGAAGGATATCCCATATTTGAGGCTTGAGATGAACAAGACTCATTGGTTATGTCTTGGTTGTGGAATTCAAAGGTGCCTGAAATTAGTGACATCTGCATGTTTCTTGGAACAACCCAAGAGATATGGGAGGCTGTAAAACAAACCTATTCGAAGGTTCGAGATGCTGCCCAGATTTATGAAATCAAGGGTAAGATTTCATCCACTGAACAAGAAAGAAAATTTATAACAGAGTATTCTAATATGTTGCAGAATCTGTGGCAAAAAATGGACCATTATCAATGCATTTAGATGAAATGCAGTGAGGATGCAACAATCCTAAAAAGATTTATAGAAAAAGATAAGATTTATGATTTTCTTACTGGACTTAATATAGAATTTGATGCAGTAAGGGTCCAGATTCAAGGAAAAGAAGGCTTGCCCTCACTGAATGAAACTATTGCTATCATTCGTGTTGAAGAAAGAAGAAGAGGAGCGATGGTGGTTGAAAATAATTAAATAGAAAGCTCAGCCTTGGTTACTAGGGTTGTTCCTGAGGGACCAAATAGTCTGGAGCAACATAATAATTGAAGGCAAAAAAGGAACAAGGACCGTTAACAAGGACTCCTTATGGTATACTTACTGAAAAAACCTTGTCACACTAAAGAAAAATGTTGGAGGTTGCATGGAAAGCCTCATATTGCAAATAAGAACTTCACAGAGAAAGGAGGTTCAACAAGAGGACAAAGCAAAAATTATGCAACTAAACATGTGGCTAAGGAGTCTGATGAACAATCTGTTGAATTCAACCTGGAAAAGTAGAAAAATTGAAGAACCTACTGGAATCCTTAGAAAAACCAACCTCTGCGTACATGCAATTTAGTTTTCTCAGGTATATCTTCTTCCTCTTCTCAGAATTCTAATGCCTTAGAATCATCTACCCATATACCTACCCAAAACTCATGGGTAATTAACTCAAGAGTCACTGATCACATGACTAATTCTTCACCAAACTTCCTCACCTACATACCTTGCTCTAGCAACAAGAAAATCAAAATTACATATGGTACTATGGTAACGGTTGCTGGCCAAGAAAATATTGCTATCAGTAAAAACCTATTGCTTAAAAATGTTCTACATGAGCCAAAACTATTTACTAGCCTTATCTCTATTCCAAAGCTTATCAAAGACACTAACTGCAATGTTTTATTTCATCATACACAATGTATTTTTCAGGAGCAAGAAACGAAGATGATGATTGGGCGTGCTAGGGAAATAAATGGCTTATAGTATCTTGAAGACCTTAGTGGACCAGCTAGGGTTTTGAATACTCGATCATTATCTTTTTTATCCGAATCTACAACCAATAAAGACCAAATTTGGCTACATCACTTTCGCCTTGGTCACCCACCTTTTAGACTCTTAAAAACTATGTTTACCTCCTTGTGTAATTCCTTAAATGTTGAAGAATTTCATTGTGAATTGGCAAAGCATAAACGTTCCTCTTTTCCAACAAGTAACAAACGAACCAACAGTCCCTTTACCCTTTCCATTATTCCTAACATAACTGGGGCTAGATAGTTTGTGTTTTTTATAGACGATTGTACTCAAGTTTCTTGGATTTATCTACTAAAACAGAAGCCTGATGTTACCTCTATTTTTAAAACCTTTTACACCATGATCAAGAATCAGTTTGGGGCTGAAATAAAATGAATCAGATCAGACAATGCTAAAGATTACTTTAATCAAGTCTTGTCTCCTTATTTCTTAGAAAGATGTATTATACATGAGTCCTCTTGTGTATACATTCCCCAACAAAATGAGGTAGCAAAAATAAAGAATGGACATCTTATTTCCATAACTAAAGCCCTTTTATTTCAAAACAATTTCCCTAAAAGGTACTGGGGGAAGCTGTGTTAACTGCCACTTACATGATAAACAGACTACTCACTAAAGTTCTTGAATCCCGAAGTCCCCTTCAAACCCTTACAAAGTTCTTTCCAAATTGCATTCCATCTCTTAACCTAAAACCAAAGGTATTTAGGTGTGTTGCTTTTGTTCACTTTCATTCTCAAGGCCGAGGGAAACTTGATCCAAGGACATTAAAATGTATTTTTATTGGGTATTCCTCCACTCAAAAGGGTTATAAGTGTTACCACCCTCCTACAAGAAAATATTACACTTCTGCTGATGTCACTTTTGTGGAAAAAGAGAGTTATTTTACAGTTCCTTATCTTCAGGGGGGAATATTTTTTAGGGAAGATAAGGATATAGTTTTGTTTTTACTTTAGCCCCTTTTGATTTTCCTACACCTATACCTATACATTCTACAGAAATACAGACAGAAATACAACTTGCTTCTACTTTATCCTCTCCCCAATTAGAACCTAGTACATCTCAACAAACATTAATACATCACAGCCCAACATTCAGGACACTAATTGCCCCCTAAGGGTCTATTCGAGGAAGAAGACACCTATGCAGATTCAATCATCCCCTTCTCCTGCTCCAACTTATATACAATTTGACGTACACTCTGAAACTCCTTTTGAATAAAATAATGCTGAAAATACTATATCTGCTTCTGATTTTGAATTTCTCATTGCTATTAGAAAATGAAAAAGAACTTGCATCACCAAACATACTACCTATCTTTTTTTGACCCACAAAAACCTATCCCCCAATTACAAAACCTTCCTTACTAGCCTAAATGACATTGCTATTCCTAAAACAGTATCTAAGGCATTAGAAAATGAGAACTGTAAAAAGGCTATGAAAGAGGAAATGGAGGCGCTAGAGAAGAATAAGACATGGGATCTAGTGAAGCTGCTAGAAGAGAGAAAAATAGTAGGATACAGATGGGTATTTATTGTTAATAAGTATAAATCAAATGGTTTTCTAGAAAGGTACAAAGCAAGATTGGTGGCAAAGGGGTACTCTCAAACCTATGGAATTGACTATCTTGAAACTTTTCCCCCTGTTGCAAAGATGAACACAGTGAGGGTTCTACTATCCTTAGCAGTTATTCAGGGATGAAATTTGCAGCAATTTGACATCAAGAATGTTTTTTTGCATGGGGACCTTGAAGAAGAAGTTTACATGGATATTTCACCCAGATTTGATTCGAATACTGGACAGACAGTGTGTAAATTGAGAAAAACTCTTTATGGACTAAAACAATCCCCAAGAGCTTGGTTTGGGAGATTTACTAAAGTAATGCTAAAACAAGGCTTCAAACAGAATCAAAGTGATCACTCTGTTTGTGAAATACTCTTCTTCAGGGGGAGTAACTGCACTGTTGGTGTATGTAGATGGTATAATTGTTACAGGTAATGATTATGAAGGAATTTTTAATTTAATGAAGTGTCTTATAAAGGAGTTTGAATTGAAGGACCTTGGAAGATTAAAATACTTCCTTGGTATTGAGGTAGCTCACTCACAGCAAGGGATTTTTATATCTCAGCAGAAGTATGCATTGGACTTGTTGATGGAAACTGGAAAATTAGGAACTAAATCAGCAGAAACTCCTATAGAAGTCAATCACAAGCTTGGAGAATCAAAGGAGGATGATATGACAGTTGACAGAAGTTTTTTTTCAGAGACTGGTGGGAAAGCTTATCTATTTGCCACACATCAGACCAAACATAGTATATGTTGTTGCAATTGTGAGCCAATTCATGTATAATCCCAAAGAATCACACTTAAGGGATGTAGTCCAAATTTTGCAGTACTTGAAGGGTACACCAGGCAAAGGAATTCTATTTAGAAGAGGGGGGAACTTGACTCTGGAAGCAAAATCAGACGCAGATTATGCAGGATCCATAATTGATAGAAGGTCAACCTCAGGCTATTGCACTTTCTTTGGAGGAAACTTAGTTACTTGGAGAAGCAAAAAACAGAATGTAGTGGCTAGATCAAGTACAAAAGCTGAATTTCGAGCTATGGAATTTGGAATTTATGAGTTATTATGGTTGAAGATTATTTTAGAAGACTTGAAGACAAAGTGGAATGGACCAATGAAACTCTACTGTGATAACAAGTCAGCAATCAATATTACTCATAATCCAGTTCAACATGATATAACAAAACATGTTGAAGTGGATAAACATTTCATAAAAGAGAAACTTGACAGTGGCCTGATCTATACCTATGTGACCATTAGAGATCAAGTTGCAGACATACTTACCAAGGGTTACCTGGTAAGTATTTTCAAAAGTTAACAGACAAGCTGAGGATGGAAGATATCCATACTCCCAGCTTGAGGGGGAGTGTCAGAGATTAGTTACCTAAGTTAAGAAGATTGAGTTGGATTTGTAAATATTCTATCTAGTTAGTATCCCTAAATCTAAGGGACTCTTTTTATTACTAGAATTAGTCTCTTACCTAATTTAGAAGTTACCTAAGATAAGGCTTAGTCTTGTATATATAATTATAAGTATCCTACACGTTTAATAAGAGTGAATTACAGTAAAATTAATGGCTTTTGTCACATTAAGACAAAATATCACACAAAAGCTACAAAGGCACTAGGCATACAAAAAGTGATGCAAGCTCTGCTGACCATCACCCTTAAAGGCTGTCTTTGCAACAGCTGCATAAAACCTACCCATGGATCATAACCTCAACAGATTTGTTTTGTAGGAATTAGATAAGGAATCATGTAGAGTTGTTCTACTTACATTCCTAATGTCATCACTGCTAAAACACCAGAAACTTCAATACCTTCTTGACCCTATAACATAAAACGCGTAAGTTCTTACCCACAAAGCTCTTGAAGTTAATAAATTACTACTATATGCCATATTGCATTACATTTGGCAACATTTCGATTAATTATGTATAAGAAAGATTCACCTTTCTTATGAAAAACAGTGTAAAACAGCTCAATGAAACAGTGTAAAACAGGTATTGAGACTCAAGATTTAGCTCTTCAATCGGGACTTTCATTTGAGGCTCCTATTAATAACAGATTTAGTTATCATATATAATAGATTGCACTTTTGTGTATGCGATGAAAAGGACCTTTCAAAGAGGCGTTCGAATGATAGGAAAGAAACATACAGTGAAGTAAACAATGTAGCTCACGGTAAGTGTCAAAGTAATCTCAATCACTGTATCATTGAAAATAAATCCAAGCCACAAAACTGATGCTATCCCAAAAGCAATTCCGATGCCCACACTGGAACCAAGAAGAGTCTTTATATCAGACATTATTCCTAAAATTGACTGTTGCGGACTGAGTAGTGGATTAGTTTCAAGCTTGAAGACAAGGACTATTTCCTCAAAGAAAGCTTTTTGAGGACTTGTCTATAATAAAGTTCCCTTTTTCTTATTTATTTCTTACACATATTCATCTCTGTCACAGTTGTTCAAGAAATGAAGGATACTTACGCTCCAAGGGAGACTTTGGCCAGAAATGCAATAATGGCATCCCAACTAAAGCTCTGTCCAAGTACCATTTTATAGAATAATTGATAGACCACAATTGCTGTCCTGCACACGTAAATTAACAAAAATTATATCACAACATATGTAAAAGCAATCATGAAATGATATTAAGATGTTGTCTTCAGATAATCTGATTTATCGAGCAATATGTGGAGTGTTTTATACAGCATGATTAAAAGATCAAAGAATAAAGTTTTAAATTAAATACCCATCATTCATCAAGGATTCGCCTTCAATTATGGTGCTCAGTTTTTTGCTAGCACCAAGCTCCTTCAACAATGCCACAACAGCAACAGGATCAGTGGCACTAAGAAGTCCCCCAAGCAACAGTGAAGTTTTCCAGTTCCATCCATATGGAAGAGTGAGCTGCAAGGTAAATATAGCTAATGAGATTACACAATTAGAAAATCAAATTTCTAAGAATAAAAAGGTGGGATACCTTCATAGCAGATCCAAGACAGAAGGTCGAAATAAGAACTCCAGGACCAGCAAGCAGAAGCATTTGTGCCATACACCTCTGTTAACACATATTTGTGAGTAAAACTGTGAAACTGGTATTTTTATGCACATGTAAGCCAAGGAATCAAAAACAGACCTTTATCTGGTGCATTTCCATGGAAAATGCACTCTCAAAGAGTAAAGCAGGTAGAAAAACAGCTAATAGAAGGTCAGGATCAATATTGTTCCCTGACAATGAGAAGTAACACCCTTAGTCTTGTGGGTTATTCTTGATGAAATAGAGGTATTTTTTTGGGATAAAAGCTAACTTAAATTTTGAGGAAGAGAAAAGTAAAAATAAAAAAAAAAACTTACAAATACGAATACCATCACCGATTCTTCCTAATTTATGACTTGTACCATATTCTGCAAAGCAAGGATGAACCACATTTACAATGAGCAAATAACTTCTAGAGACAACAAAAAGATATGGTAAAAACCATGTCCTAAAGGACAGGGGGGAAAAAGCGACAAGCTTGCAACAATCATCCAACTTAGCATGACTAAGTTTCAAGACTCACTTATTGATCAATAAAAGTGTCCAAAACCAGGAAGAAAGAGTAAAAATATGGGAGTTTAAGAAAGAGTAAAAATATGGGAGTTTTGTCCCCTAAATAATCATAATTCCAGTTAAGACATCGACACTGTTTATGGACATGCTATCTTGCCTCCAAACTGAGATCAATTTTCACAAGTAAATGTAAATCACCTTTCACTTAAAAGAGTTACGATTCAAAATGGAATATAATATGTTTTAAGAAAATTATTCCATCCACCTTACGGAGTTCTTAAACTCCTCCAAATGTATTCTATTCGGTGATAGATTCAAAAATATTTTTTAGAATTGATATACATATGTTAATAACACAAAAGTTTTTATTTGGTTGGGCACAAAATAAAATTTAAGACAGATACAATTAGTAAAATAAATAACTAATTAAAAAAATAAAATTCAGAGTATATACGTACACAAACTAAACTTACTGTAGATCCTTCACTGATTTTATCCCAAATAACTAAAACATTAGGAATGAATACGTTTTTATATACTCATATTGTAATTTTTTAAAACTTTCACAATCAAAGCTAAGGGTCGCTTTTTCTAAATATACTCTAAGAATGCATTCCGCTTTAGTTTTTATTTTTAGAGTCCGTAATATATAATAATAAAAAACTATTTAGAAATAAAAGCGGACAAACTCTTTAAACTCACCAAGTTAGAAAGGGAACTCTGGCATATCAGTACGTTTATTTGGATTAGAAGATCAAGAATTCAAATTTAATACTAGAAGATAGAAACAGATAAAAGGAAATACCCAAGAAATTAGTACTATTTTTTTTCTGGAAAATAAGTAAAGAATTAAAATCTAAATTAGATCCTGCTACATACAAAATTGAATTTAGATGAGTCAGGTTAATATATTTTAATGGCAAAGGATTTATAAATCAAATGAAATTAACAAATTCTGATATATGGGTAAATAGAAAAAATAAAAACAAAAGCCAAAACCCATCAAAGTTCAATGGATATTCTTCTCCTATGGTGGGTATTTTAACTTCTTTTTTTTTATGATAAATAAGTAAAGAACAGTAAGAAAGAGAAGAAGAAGAAGAAGATGGAGTGGTAAAGAAAGGAAGAGGCGAACCGAGAGAGCCAAGACCGAGGCCAATGATAAGCAAAGCGATAGTGTACGGAACTCTGGTACCGCGAAGAGCATGTCTGCAAGCAATTCCTAATACCAACGAAATCCCAACGAAGATAACCGCATCAACCGGCTCCGATGAAGAAGAGCTAATCTCTTGTAACATTTTCGATGGTAACAGGTACAGATTCTCCTTTGTCTCCTCCATGTTGCTACAACTCTGATCATTTGCTTCCATGTACTCGTCGTATTTGTTTATTTACCTGCAATAGCCTATAGGAACAGAAAATTTGTAGCTAATTTATATTACGTTATCTTGTTGACTTTTAATTTTGTCCGTTCGTTTAACTTTTGTTATTCTTTGTCCCTATTATTTTTATGTTCTTGAATTATCTCATTTATAAATATTAATTTCTTATTTCCACGTTAAACTTCATATTTTCCTTTTATACTTGAAAATAATTAAATTTATTTAAGAATAATTTTATCATTTTATCCTCTAGACTTGAAAATAATTAAATTTATTTAAGAATAATTTTATCATTTTAACCTTTTTATATGATATGTGTAGACACTCATTTTCGTCCATATTTTTATTTTATTTCATATATATATATTAATAGTTTGCAAACAGTTTTTAAAAAAAAACACATATATAATATATAGTTTTTAAAAACGTTTTGAAAACTTATATAATATATAGTTTTGAAAATATTTTTGAAAATATTTATATATTATATAGTTTTTAAAAACGTTTTGAAAATATATATAAATATATAGTTTTTTAAAGACATTTTTGAAAAAATATATATTATATAGTTTTTAAAACGTTTTTTGAAAATACGTATAATATATAGTTTTTAAAAAAATATTTCAGAAATTTATATATTATATGTTTTTGAAAACATTTATATATATAATATAGTATTATTATTATTATTATTATTATTATTATTATTATTATTTATTTCTTATAATTATTATTTATGTTTTTTGCCGGGTCTAAGTCCAAGATTTGCTTTGGGTCCAATACGGTCACAGATTGGTCCAGAACAGTAGGCCTGATCCAGCTCGTTATATTTAGGGTTTTGGGAACCCTAAAACAAAAACAACACAAACATCACACGAGGGGGCAACCAAGGGTCAAAGCACGAAACAGTTTCCGACCGACATCCCCGGGACTGAACCATCCCGGGGAACTCGGTCAAGCAACAACCCACGACGTTCCCGAAGATCTCGGAACAACCCATTCATCTCGGGGCTAGAAACGACCAGAGCCAAGCTATAAAAAACGATGGCCACAACCGGACGAGGGGGGAAGGATCGGAAGAGAGAGCCACAAAAATACTAAACCAGTACCACAGAAACAGAGGAAAACACAACGGTAACCAACAGAACCCACGAGAACCCAAAGCGATCATCGAGAGATCCACATACACAACAAACCAAAAAGACAAAAACCATAACACAAAGCAACCGCAAAGCCTCATAAAATACCGAGAAGACAAACGAAGGAAGCCCGATCTAAACTCGGGAAAGTGCTTACCACTGAGAAGTTGAAGGGCCACTGGATTTCCGATTTTTCGAAAGGTATTCTCCTAGATCTAGGGGTTTGAGGTAGGATTTAGACAAAGGGGGTTAGATATGGGTTTTGTGGAACGAGGGGAAGCTTTTTGTCCTTCCGGCCACCTAGCACCGCCGTGCCGGCCACCGTGAACCGCCGTATGCAGTCACCAGCGACGGCGACCGGTGAACCCTCCCAAGAGAGAGTTCCTCTCACACTCTCTCTCTATTCTCAGCACAAGTGGGGAAAATGAGCTAATGTAACCGATTTGGTCTTCAAAATATATATATATATATATATACTTAGTGCAGTGCGACGTCGTTTCACCGAGGGGTCTCCTGCATATTTTCGTTCGTGTTAAACCCCTAAATTAGTCATTGTATCTTTCATCTTTTACATTCCAGTCACTACAATGAACTTTCGATATTTTTTTAATTTTGATTTCGAATTTTATGCATGTTTAATTTGATCATTCGTTTTAATTTTATCTCCGTATTTTCAATTCGTTCAATTTAGTTCCTATTTATACTTTTTTTGTGTTTTTACGAACTAACTTTATAATTTTGTTTTTTATTTTATTTTACCTTGTTTTTATTATCATTCTTATCTTTATTTATTTATTTTTCCCTCTTTTAATTAACATTTTTATTTCTTTATTATTATTTTATTACTTTCTATTATCCTTTTATCGACTTTTGTTTATCTTCATCTTCAATATTTTTATTTATTTATTTTTTCTTCTTTTTTCGTATTTATTTTTATTTTATTATCTGACATTTTCTTTGACATTTTCAGTGGTCATTTAAATCGATCAAAGGTAAGTAATTTAAATCGAATTTTTAAATTCTAATTTAAATCCTTAATTTTCACAATTAAAGACAACCGATAAATTAATTGGTACCGAAAGGGTGGTTCAAGGGTGTTAATCCTTCCTTGATCGTAACCGACTCCCGAGCCCGACACATTTCTGGTACAACACAGATCAGATAAGATGGTATCTGACCTACCTAAATGTTTTTAAAATGGTCGGTGGTGACTCCAATTCATTTAATCCAAGTCGAAGCCCAATTCTGGGCCCAACCGAAAGGCGGTTCCGACAGCTTGGCGACTCCGCTAGGGACAGGTAAGTGAGTCAGGCCAAAATTAATTTTCGGTTGTCTTTTTATGTGAAAATGGTAAATTTAAATTTATATTTATTTATTCGATTTCAATTATTTACCTTTGATTATTTTTCAAATAAATAGTTGTACTAACGTTTTTTAATATTCATATTTTCAAAGTTTTCATATCTAGCTATATACCCGAGCTCCGAATCCTTTTAAGTGGGGGTGAAAGCGACGCCTTCTTGTGAATTTATTCATCGTGCGGGCCTAGCAAGTAACCTTCGAGATTCATATACGTTATGCCTTCGTGTGAATTTATTCTCCGTATGGGCATAAGGGAATGTGTCCTCTCGAGTTTAACTTAGTCCACACAAGCCTGTGATGGGTTTAATACTAAGGGTCTGGCAAGGCCAAGGGGGCATCGACAAGGAGAACTCGAGTACCATTTTTTAGAACCTAAACCGGGAGAGTACAGGGAATTAGAGCCCACCCCAAAACCTCATTCCAAACCCTAGGTTGTTTTGTTTCCTGCTTTATTTTTTGTTCAAAGCTTGTGAACTAGACAAATATGCGGTTAGGATTTGTTTGAAATTAGCATGCGGGATAGAAATCATGTCCGGGTAGGAATATTAAGCATGTTCGGGTAGATATCATGTGGGGTAGGGCTTTTATTTTTAATGATTATTTTTTATTATTTTTACTTCACTAACTCTTTTTTTCTCTTTCATTTTATTTTCATCACTTGCATCATTTAAAAGAGGTGTTGATCCACAAAAAACGTGTTTGCTAAACATGAATAATCTGCATTAATGGACAAAGGGGTTGTAATACAAGAGATGAAAATGCAGAGGACAGTCTACAAGAAGACTATGTGTCACATTTAATCCAGAAGACGTGGTGCCCGCAATTGAAGATTATATCACCATACTGCATTATAAAGGACTCAATGAACCGGATCTACATCAAGCACAATGAAAGTCTATCTTTGAAGAACTGACTGGCAGAAGTTATAGGGGCAAGATGAAGACCACTGATCTTAAGATTCACTTCAAAGACGACAATGGCAAAACGAAAACTGAAATTGGAGACCATTACTGACAAATTCAAGAAACATACAAATGGACTTCACATAGTTCCTATCAATTAAGGGCTCCAATGACATATTCGTTGGGAACAGGCTCAACAAAAGATAAATGTCAGAGGTGCAGTCCTTCGAGATTTTTTGGGGCAAACAACTCGCCATTTGCACGGTTCATCCAGAGAAACCAGAGCGGTTCGACAGGTTATTCAACCGGCGACGGACGAAGGCGGAAGACTAGTCAATATGTCAGAAGCTGTCAGAATATTTTTTGTCTCTTAAAAGATAAAACACTTTTGTCCCCAATAAGGATTATTTCTAATAACAGACACATTTTTGGATTAATGTCTCGAACATTGCATGCATTATACATCTAGACATATTTTGCATTTTATTATTTTTTACATTTGCATTAACTAATATATACATGTCTCATCAAAAGGAGCAAATACTGGATACACTACCTCAAGCGTTGGACACACCCCACCTGCATAACACCCGTTTGAAGAAGAAGAGGATGGAAGCCAGAATTACACAAATCGAGGAGAATATGTTGAAACTATAGAAAGAGCTAGAAGACAAGATAAACCAGAGCAATTGAAATACTTTGGAAACAATCACAAAGAACCAAGAGTCCTTGGTTGATCAGATCGTTGCCAAGTTAGTTGGCCTACAACAGACCAGTGCGCCTGGGGCAGGTTCACCGGAAGGGGTAACTATACAACCTACCCCGTAAGTGGTTATCTCACCTGAAATCTTACCAAAACTTCCAGGGGGCTCATCTACTGCAAACGCGAAGCCCTTGTCCTCTGTATTTAACCCTAAGAAGAATATAGGTTATTACCATGTACCGGATTTGGACGAAGAGGACAAAGCAAAGAAGATGGAGGAAAAAATCAAACAATTGGAGGACCAAATGAAGGTAGTCAAAGGAGACCATGACTACCATGAAATCGATGCCGCGGAGCTCAGTCTAGTCCCAAACTTGGTTCTTCCTCCGAAATTTAACTCATCGGAATTCGAGAAGTTTGACGGGAACAATTGTCCATCCGCTCACATCACCATGTTCTGTCGAAAGATGATAGGATATGGAGGAAATGACCAACTCCTGATCCACTGCTTCCAGGAGAGTCTGTCGGGCTCAGTCATTCGGTGGTACAACCAGCTAAGCCGATCAAATATCAAGACCTGGAAGGACCTGGCCAAGTCATTTCTGGAACAATATAAACATGTCAATGACATAAGGCCAGATCGAGTTATGCTACAAAGCATGGAAAAAAAGCATAATGAAAGTTTCAGGCAATACGTACAAAAATGGAGGGACTTGGCTATGCAAGTTCATCTACCTTTAGATGAAAAGGAAACCCGGAAGCTTTCATACAGACCCTGAAGGCTCCATACTTCAGACACCTGGTTGCGATCACGTCAGGGAGCTTTTCAGACTTGGTTATGGCCGGAGAAATGATCGAGTCGGCCATAAAGCAAGGCAAGATTAAGGATAGTGAAGCCA